ATCTGGCTCAGTTTTGGCATGCTTATAGGTAAATGGCTTGACCTTTAGGAAAATCTGTCGGTTACACTCAAAGCCCTCGACGAGGGCTAAAAAGTGACCACGAGTGAAATTCTCTTTATATGAGCTCTATTACGAAAAAAAAATTCCTCCGACGACCCCCCTTGATATTTTGTGAGGTGGTAGGAGAACGCCTTGGGGTGTCACAAAAAACTCGCCATGTCCGGGAAAAATCGGGAAATGGGTCAAAACTGACCAGTCGTATTTCCCTATATAATCTTTGTATTTTATGGGAAAAACAGAGGGTCATTTCAAAGCAGACTTTAGGGTACTTAAACTCAGTATATCTGACTAATTTTTTGCATACTCTTAGGTAAATGGTTTGACCTTTAGGGAAAACTGTCGGTTTGACTCAAAGCCCTCGACGAGGGCTAAAAAGTGACCGCGAGTGAAATTCTCATTATATGAGCTCTATTACGAAAAAAAAATTCCTCCGACGACCCCCCTTGAAATTTTGTGAGGTGGTAGAAGAACACCTTGGGGTGTCACAAAAAACTCGCCATGTCCGGGAAAAATCGGGAAATGGGTCAAAACTGACCAGTCGTATTTCCCTATATAATCTTTGTATTTTATGGGGAAAACAGAGGGTCATTTCAAAACGGATTTTATGGCACTTACCCTCTTTACATCTGGCTCAGTTTTGGCATGCTTATAGGTAAATGGCTTGACCTTTAGGGAAAACTGTCGGTTACACTCAAAGCACTCGACGAGGGCTAAAAAGTGACCGCGAGTGAAATTCTCTTTATATGAGCTCTATTACGAAAAAAAAATTCCTCCGACGACCCCCCTTGAAATTTTGTGAGGTGGTAGGAGAACACATTGGGGTGTCACAAAAAACTCGGCATATCTGGGAAAACTTCGTAAAGGGGTCAAAACTGACCAGTTGTATTTCCCTATATAATCTTTGTATTTTATGGGAAAAACAGAGGGTCATTTCAACGCAGACTTTAGGATACTTATACTCAGTATATCTGACTAATTTTTTGCATACTCTTAGGTGAATGGCTTGACCTTTAGGGAAAACTGTCGGTTTGACTCAAAGCCCTCGACGAGGGCTAAAAAGTGACCGCGAGTGAAATTCTCTTTATATGAGCTCTATTACGAAAAAAAATTTCCTCCGACGACCCCCCTTGAAATTTTGTGAGGTGGTAGGAGAACACCTAGGGGTGTCACAAAAAACTCGGCATATCTGGGAAAACTTCGTAAAGGGGTCAAAACTGACCAGTTGTATTTCCCTATATAATCTTTGTATTTTATGGGAAAAACAGAGGGTCATTTCAACGCAGACTAGGATACTTAAGCTCAGTATATCTGGCTAATTTTTTGCATGCTCCTAGGTCAATGGCTTGACCTTTAGGGAAAACTGTCGGTTACACTCAAAGCCCTCGACGAGGGCTAAAAAGTGACCGCGAGTGAAATTCTCTTTGTATGAGCTCTATTACGAAAAAAAAATTCCTCTGACGACCCCCCTTGATATTTTGTGAGGTGGTAGGAGAACGCCTTGGGGTGTCACAAAAAACTCGGCATATCTGGGAAAACTTCGTAAAGGGGTCAAAACTGACCAGTCGTATTTCCCTATATAATCTTTGTATTTTATGGAAAAAAACAGGGTAATTTCAACACAATTTTTACGTTACTTAACCTCTGTACATCATGCTAATGTTTTTTATACACTTCTATAGATGACTAGGCCGTATGGAAAAACTGTTGGTCAGACTCAAAGCCCTCGACCAGTGCTAAAAGATGACCGCGAGTGAAATTCTCCTTATATGAGATATATATAAATAATTTGACGATCGATCCCGTTAATATTATTTGAGGTCGTAGACCGACCCTGGAGGGTAACAAAAAAACTTTAATCCCGTCGGAAAAAGCTATTGTAGTCGTTAAATATGTTTATATATCGTATTTTCTTATATAAGCATAGTAACTGTTTGTTTAAAAAAAAGTAAACACAGAGATACGTCATTCGGTTAATTTCCAAGGGAGGTAACCTTTTTAAATAATTATTTTTCAAATAATTGTATACTATTTTAAACAGAAACAGAAAACGACAAAGTATAGCATTTGTTTTAGATAAAAATAAGTTATTAATTAAGCTTCGTATCATAATTAAATAAAAAATTAATTTTAAAAGTCAATGTAATATAAATTATGAGATATACTGTTCATGGAACCTCTGTAGTTCTATTTCCATCTTAGTTATAAATTGCGTACTTTCGAACACTTTCTCAAGAAGCTGATGATAAAGAGCATATGTCTACAACATCTTCTCTAAAATTAGCATTACTGTTTACATTTAAGCACTCCACGCCTCATCCATCACCTAATAATTACTATTCAAATTATCAAATGTTTTTGAAAACCTAAGCGAAGCTAGGCAGTATGCCTAGTATATATATATATATATATATATATATATATATATATATATATATATATGTATATATATATATATATATATATATATATATATATATATATATATATATATATATATATAATATTCACAGTTGGCCTGTTACGTTTTACTTTTCCATTGACTTCTTGATTGTACCAGAAAAAAAACAAAAGTTTTAAATGTTCAAATCATAAATCACACTTGTTACTAATCCAGTGTTTCTTTCAGGCAACTTTTATTCCCTTACAAGATGACCCCCCCCCCCCCCCCAGCTCTTACTTATAGACGTCAAGAACTACAAGGTAAATGCATTCACTGAGATGAAATATTTTATATATTTATTTAGATAAGCGAACATAACCGCTATGTTAGAAAATGTTATATGAATAAGTTCATGTATATATTTTTATTATTAAATATTATGTATCAATATGGTTAAAAAAAGTTCAATGTTAATAATTAAGTAGTTTAATAATAATGTATGCTAGTTACTTCCCATTTTTAACTTCAATTTAGCAATGGGAGACAACAAATAGCAGTGTTCTTAAAACGTAATAACAAATAATCACAAATTTAGTACTAATAAAACACATTTTAATTAAGTTATAAGACATTATTATATAAAGTTATGTACAATTTAGTTGGTTTTTAATCTTTATATCACGTTGATTTTAGAATTATTATTTGACTTTTATTTAAATGAAAACTGTTAGGTTTATCAAATTCTTAATTTATACTTAGATAAAAATTCAGTTTAATAGATTATTGTCTGAGCATCCAATCGAGACTATAATCGAAATATTTTATTTAATAAACCAGGAGTGATCCCTCCCCTAAACCCTCCCGAATATTCCTATACTAGCCCTCGGTACCCGCTACACGTGAATTATAGGCCCATATATTTTTAATGTTATACATATTTGGAAATAATAAGTTATAAAATAGTTATTGATACAAAAATCAACAATACACATTGAGATATTAGTGACAAAACAAAGAAATAACTAATTAGCTAAAAATCCGGCACATTTAAATAAACAAAGGCCACTAATATCCTAATATTTTATAAAATAGTTATTGGTCAAAACGCAATGTGCTTTACTACACGTTGAACAATATTAGTGACCATGCAAAGAAATAACTAAATAGCTAAAAATCCGACACATTTAAAATAACATAGACTACCAATACGTATTCGAAAAATTAAAACCAAATTATATACATTATTAGTCATTAGAACACCAAATTAAATGCACACACTGATTAAAAGACTTAAATGATTCCGTTAAAAACCTGGCTTTAAGTAATTTGTAAAATTGTATAGATTTCATAGCGTACGTCTTGAAAAGTAGATCTATAGATCTAGAATTAAATCAAATTTGAATGAAATAGTTCCTTTCTTTATATTCTAAAATCGGAAGATTCACATATAAAAAAAAAATTGCAAAAACAAATATTAACTTTGCCTTGGTGTGACTCGAACCCGTACCACCCGCGCGGTATCAAGTACACTATCATCTCAGCTATTTAGTACCTCATGGTTTTATTAGAACAAAAGACGTAATTAAAAAACTTAACTTACGCGTATTCTTTCAAAAATATTTTATCCCAAATTAGCAGTTTCCATAGCTAAACAAACAAAGATTTCTATAAAATAATTAAGGCCTGAAATAGTTTAATATAGAAATTTATTATTGGAATAGATTCTAGAGTAGATAGATCTTGAGTCTAAATCTAGAATCTAGATCTTAGCGTCTACGTCTAGTTTTTTTCCGTAGATCCAGTCATCTAGTCTGCATCTAGAATATTTAAATAACTATAAAGAAAAGCATGAATCGATTTTTTTAAATTTTAGTGAAGGTATTCAGTAGAAATAGAATGACTCGCGATGTCTACACGTTAGCTGTCAGGTGGGAAGAAACATAATGACACGTCAGTGCGTCACGTCCCTGGGTTGTTTGTTTCCCAACATCCCCCACTCCCCCGGGGGACCACTAACTTAACACACTCACCCACATTCCACCACATCCCTAGGTCACCTGCCCCCCCCCCATCCCTGGGGTAAGTTTGGGAGGGGGGAGCACTAACTCAACCAACACACTTAGCTACCATCCCAGCCCATCCCGAGGTCACCTGCCCCCCCCCCCCCATACCCGGGGTGAGTTTGGGAGAGGGGAGCACTAACTCAACCACACACTTAGCTACCATCCCAGCCCATCCCGAGGTCACCTGCCCCCCCCCCCCCATACCCGGGGTGAGTTTGGGAGAGGGGAGCACTAACTCAACCACACACTTAGCTACCATCCCAGCCCATCCCGAGGTCACCTCCCCCCCCCCCCCCACCCCTGGGGTGAGTTTGAAAGGGGACCACTAACTCAACCAAAACACTCAGCCACCATCCCATCTGTGTCGGAGATATTTATCTCATCTGACCTTTAACCCCGGCATACATCAACGTCATGCCCATGGTGTATTTTGATTTTCATAGCCAGGGTTGGATGTTTTTTACCATTAAATATTGGAAATCAAACTTTAAGCTAACCTGATTGGCAACATCTGTTGTTACATGCCTGTAGACTCTCGTCTGTGTATTGACCAATCGGAACAGCCGTTGCATTATCTGATCTAAAAATATCTGCGGGGTTAAGGACTTGTTGCATACAGTTCTGATCGGCCCAGGTTGTCATGGAGACCAGAAACAGCACGTGGATTAGTGACTGGGCTTTCATCGTTCTGAAAAACGTGCAAGACATTTCGTGTATGAAATTAAAACTACGAAATTATTTATTCGCTGATAATTGTATCTCTGTATTGTACCACCACCTCCCTCATCACGAGAGTCGCTGTAATCAGGAATATAACCGTCAATGTCTGTAAATAAAGTCATGGGATTTTAATTTTAACAAATGTTCACCCCCCCCCCCCCCAACACACACACACACTCCTAAAACCACATCTGGGCACGTCTTCACAACCACACGTGTCTCCAGTTACACACACACACACACACACACACGTCATTAAATAAACCAATTTATTTTAGACGGGCCAATTTTAAGACCAATTATTATAATCAGACCTATACTAAACACTCCAATATTAAACCACTAAACAGACCACTTTTAAAGAGACCAATATCAAAATGACCAATGTTAAATTGATCCGTTTTAAAGAAACCAATAATAAATTGACCACTATTAAACAGATCAATTATTAACAGACTAATTTTTAAAAATAGACTGATGTTAAATGCGCTCATATTAAACAATAGACTAACTAATAGACTAATACTAAAAAGACCACAGTTAAACAGACCAATATTGAATAGACCACTATTAAACAGAAAACAGTTTAAACAGATCAATATAAAAACAAGCCTATGTTAACTTGATTTTCAATAAGCGCCACTACGTTTAACACAGCTATGCTGTACACAATAATGTTGTACACAACAATGTTATACACGTCAATAGTGTACACACCAGTAGTGTACACAAAAATATTTTACACAATAATGTTGTACACAATAATGTCGTTTACAATAATGTACACAATAATGATGTGCGCAGCAATGGTGCAATTTTGTCCGTACCGATGTTAAACACTTCTACGTTGTACACAGTGATGTCCACACCAATTTTAACACACCTATGATGTTACACAAAGTTGAACACGACAACGCCGAACACACAAATATTGCATATACATATTGCATATGACGAATTTCTGATTTTTTAAAAATTCCTATCAATCATCTTAACATTCCCGTTGTGGTTTTTTTTTCGTCCCACAACTCTTCAAGAAAAACTAAAATATCAGCTAACATAATCCAAGCGATAAGGAAACTCAATATCCACACCGGATTAAGAAAACACATTTTTACAGCTTTTTCAACATAAAAAAACAGTTTGTCTTACCTTCATCGACTTTGAAAACTTTCCAATGTTAGTTGTTTGTTTTTACATTTCAGACGTACATAGTGGGGTGATGTTTTAACTGGCTGTCTCACGCGGTGTGGGTGGGGATGGGGAGGGAACATAATATACGGCTATAGTTGTCATTGATTTACTTATCAATAAGTCGTATAGGCCGTCATGTTTACCCGCGTCAACACACGTGCTTCAAAGGATGACACACGCGCATGTGGTCGACACACGTTCAAATGGTTGCACCTATATTTCGTCAAATTTGAACACGATCCTATCTATGTCTTCCTAAATAATCCTCCACGGGTTAATCTATATATAATATTACACGCCAGTATACTCCGATATAAGTATACATGCACGTAGTATATTATTCTCACATATAGTAAAAAAAGACACATAAAGCCCTGCCTGCCTTCATACTTATTTAAACGCCACGCGTACATATACACAGAATTTCACATACATACACAATTTACACATACATGCACAGCTGTACATATACAACCCCCCCCCCCCCACACACACACACACACACACAAACACAACCCGAACACATATTTGAAAGATCAGAATCAATAATCACCAAACTGTTACAGTATCGAATTGTAAGCCGCGAGTAACTCAATCCCATACCGGCGTCGATGTATTCATACGCGAGGCCAACTGCCGCCTCCAGGTAACACCACCTACACTCACCCATAATGTGACCTCAGCGTACCCCTTGTATACCTTTTTAAACAAAACCAGTGTTTCTTTCAGACATTATTCTCCGGGTTGGGGGGTCGGACACTGTTAAAAGTATATATTTATTTTCTATATGAATTATATTTCTTTTACAGGAAGGTGGGGGGGGGGGGGGAGATGTGCTTTGGCACCCCCCCCCCCCCCCCCCATAGAAAATACTGGAAGAAATTCTGAACGAAGCTATTGATGTCATGGGTAAATAAATTGTGACATACACGTGCTAGACAGAAAAAAACACTTAAGTTAGCCCTTAGGACAACACAATGAAACAAAGCACCAACATTTGGCTGATATATGTGGTGACACCAACATTTGGCTGATGTATGTGGTGACACCAACATTTGGCTGATATATGTGGTGACACCAACATTTGGCTGATATATGTGGTGACACCAACATTTGGCTGATAAATGTGGTGACACCAACATTTGGCTGATATATGTGGTGACACCAACATTTGGCTGATAAATGTGATGAGACCAACATTTGGCTGATATATGTGGTGACACCAACATTTGGCTGATAAATGTGGTGACACCAACATTTGGCTGATGTATGTGGTGACACCAACATTTGGCTGATAAATGTGGTGACACCAACATTTGGCTGATATATGTGGTGACACCAACATTTGGCTGATATATGTGGTGATACCAACATTTGGCTGATATATGTGGTGAGACCAACATTTGACAGATACTTAAGTATGTGGCATGGGATGGCGTGGCCTAGCGGGAGAGAGCTAGACTGTTAACCCGAAAGTCCCTGAGTCCACCCAGCTCTGATGGGTACCTAACTCACGTTAGGGAAAGCAAAAGCGGCTGGGCATAGTGCTGACCACATTATCCTTTCAAATGCCGAGGTTGCTGAAACAGATAACTCTACTTCATCTGCCAACTTAACTTACAAGATTAGCCACACAATCAAACAGTCGTTGTGAACTAAATACGTGCTATAAAAATAGCAAAGAAAACCATGGATAGATAATATAAATAAAATTTGCAGAAGACCAGGCCACCATATTGAAATAGAATATATCCAAACTGTTTATTTTATTTTATGTCAATAGCCATCCAAGCATACCGTTAATTAAGGATGCTATGGAGTTACATAGCCTAACGATTAACTTACATGTAGGCATTAAGATTTTTTATATAACTCAGACGGATTAGTTTGATTAACTTGGGTTTCACTGTTGGTTACTTTACTTTGAGTTATTTAACTTTTATTTCACTGTTACTTTACTTTGAGTTATCTAACTTTTATTTTACTGTTACTTTACTTTGAGTTGTCTAACTTTTACTTCACTGTTACTTTCCTTTGAAGCCCAGTGTTAAACAAGATGTGTTCATGTATGACTTAGTGTACCCTTTGGGTCAGGCCTGACGCCTACAAGGAGAACCAAATTATTCCAATCGTTGCTTCATGTAAGGGGTTGTACATCACCTCAGATTCTTTCATGCATCATTTTCGAAAAAAAAGGGGGGGGGGCTGGGTGGCGCGTGCCACTGTAGATCCGTAAAGCTGTAGATCCGTAAAGCTGTAGCTCTGTAAAGCTGTATATCCGTAAAGCTGTAGCTCTGTAAAGCTGTAGATCCGTAAAGCTGTAGCTCTGTAAAGCTGTAGCTCTGTAAAGCTGTATATCTGTAAAGATGTAGCTCTGTAAAGCTGTATATCTGTAAAACTGTAGATCTGTAAAGCTGTATGTCTGTAAAGCTGTAGAACCGTAAAGCTGTATATCTGTAAAGCTGTAGCTCTGTAAAGCTGTAGCTCTGTAAAGCTGTAGCTCTGTAAAGCTGTAGCTCTGTAAAGCTGTAGCTCTGTAAAGCTGTAGCTCTGTAAAGCTGTATATCTGTAAAGCTGTAGCTCTGTAAAGCTGTAGATCTGTAAAGCTGTATATCTGTAAAGCTGTAGCTCTGTAAAGCTGTATATCTGTAAAGCTGTAGCTCTGTAAAGCTGTAGCTCTGTAAAGCTGTAGCTCTGTAAAGCTGTAGATCTGTAAAGCTGTATATCTGTAAAGCTGTATATCTGTAAAGCTGTAGCTCTGTAAAGCTGTAGATCTGTAAATCTGTATATCTGTAAAGCTGTATATCTGTAAAGCTGTAGCTCTGTAAAGCTGTATATCTGTAAAGATGTAGCTCTGTAAAGCTGTATGTCTGTAAAGCTGTAGCTCTGTAAAGCTGTATATCTGTAAAGCTGTAGCTCTGTAAAGCTGTATATCTGTAAAGCTGTAGCTCTGTAAAGCTGTAGATCTGTAAAGCTGTAGATCTGTAAAGCTGTAGATACGTAAAGCTGTATATCTGTAAAGCGTAGCTCTGTAAAGCTGTATATCTGTAAAGCTGTAGCTCTGTAAAGCTGTAGATCTGTAAAGCTGTAGATCTGTAAAGCTGTATCTCTGTAAAGCTGTAGATCTGTAAAGCTGTAGATCTGTAAAGCTGTATATCTGTAAAGCTGTATATCTGTAAAGCTGTAGCTCTGTAAAGCTGTAGATCTGTAAAGCTGTATATCTGTAAAGATGTAGCTCTGTAAAGCTGTATATCTGTAAAGCTGTATATTTGTAAAGCTGTAGCTCTGTAAAGCTGTAGATCTGTAAAACTGTAGATCTGTAAAGCTCTGTATTAATGTAAACATTTAGAGCTAACGAGCTAGTAATAGTACTACTAGTATTATTATTTTTTTCATTCCTAGTAGCTGTTTGTGTCATAGTTTGAACTTTTCTTTTGTTATAAAAATAATGTACTATTTTTACTTGCTCGCGAAAACAATACTGACGTCACTTCCGGGAAATAGGAAGCAAACACTAAAAATAAAAAAATAAAACATACATCGTTTATGTAGCTCTTACAAACAGGACAAATGACAAGTTGGTTTGTATTTGATTTATTAAAACATCAGGCAACAAGCAAAACACGTGTATTGACCTTTAAAATAGTTATAACTATAACTCAAGGCGGTGACGGTATCGTTGTTGACGATACTAGTAATTCGATGCTACTTATCGAGAAATGACGATAATGACCCACATTAACTGACGAATGTATTAGTATTCGTACAGCTAGATTCGTATATGTAGATTTACTGCGGGTTATACATATACTTAAACCACAAAGCTAATCCTTCCCTGCGTCATAGCTGAAAATCCGATGTTAAAATATTGTTATCGGCTCTTGTTTATGTGGGTCTAGCTGTTCAATCGAAGTACTTAACACACATACTCTACAATATACTGTGACTATAGAATATACTGTCAGCATACAGCATACTGTGACTATAGAATATACTGTCAGCATACAATATACTGTGACTATAGAATATACTGTTAGCAGGGGCGTAGCGAGGGGGGGGGGGGGGGGGGGTGCGGACCGCACCGGGTGACACCATTTAGGGGGGTGACACCAAGGCAAAAAATAGCAAAATATATAGAGAAAAACTCGAGGGGGGGGGGGTGCAAATCGAAAACTTGAGGGGGGTGCAAATCGAAAGTTTGAGGGGGGGGGGGTGCAAATCGAAAATTTGAAAGTTTGTCCCTGGGAAGGGTCTCTATGTCTCTGGGGGGGTGACACCATTAAGTGCCGCACCGGGTGACACCCGACCTCGCTACGCCACTGTCTGTTAGCATACAATATACTGTGACTATAGAATATACTGTTAGCATACAATACATTGTGACTATAGAAGATACTGTTAGCATACAATATATTGTGACTATAGAATATACTGTTAGCATACAATATACTGTGACTATAGAATATACTGTTAGCATACAATATATTGTGACTATAGAATATACTGTTAGCATACAATATACTGTGACTATAGAATTTACTGTTAGCATACAATATACTGTGACTATAGAATATACTGTTAGCATACAATATATTGTGACTATAGAATATACTGTTAGCATACAATATACTGTGACTATAGGATATACTGTTAGCATACAATATATTGTGACTATAGAATATACTGTTAGCATACAATATATTGTGACTATAGAATATACTGTTAGCATACAATATATTGTGACTATAGAATATACTGTTAGCATACAATATACTGTGACTAAAGAATATACTGTTAGCATACAATATATTGTGACTATAGAATATACTGTTAGCATACAATATATTGTGACTATAAAATATACTGTTAGCATACAATATATTGTGACTATAGAATATACTGTTAGCATACAATATATTGTGACTATAGAATATACTGTTAGCATACAATATATTGTGACTATAGAATATACTGTTAGCATACAATATATTGTGACTAAAGAATATACTGTTAGCATACAATATACTGTGACTATAGAATATACTGTTAGCATACAATATATTCTGACTATAGAATATACTGTTAGCATACAATATACTGTGACTATAGAATATACTGTTAGCATACAATATATTGTGACTA